CTTTCCTCCTGTCCCACTATCATGCTCAATCCCCACCAGGATTTCAGCAATTCCTCTGTTACATTACCCTTGACCATGCCCCTTGCTATTCAAGTAGAATCTTCAACTTCTTGAAGACAAATGCAAATGAAAAATGCTTTATATTTGATCATATTCCCATGGGCACCAGTCCCAGGACACTAAAAAGGAAGCCAGAGCCCCAGAAACATGGCGCACCAAAGGCAAGCCCTGCTGTTTCCCTCAGTATGAGTCCTAACTTTTGGCCAATTCACTGCCATGGAGTCAATTCCAGCTCATAACAGTAAGACAGAGAGGAACTGCTCAAGGGAGCTCCCAAGGCTGTAAATCTTTACAAAAGTACAAAGCTTCATCTTTCTCCCAAGGGGTGGGCAGTTGTGCTGCTGGCCTGGGCTCCTGGGTTACATGTGGGGGTGCTAATCACAAGGTCAGCAGTTTAAATCCACCAGCGACTCTGAGAGGAAGATGCCGCTTTCCGCCCCCATAAGCAGTTCCCATCTTGGAGACCCACGTTCCACCCTGTCCTACAGGGTCACTATGAATCCACTCGGTGGTAGTGAGTGAGTAGGGAACTCTGCTGGTTGCCTGATCAAATTGACCCCCATGACTGAATATTCTGTTTTCTCGGAATTGCCTTTGAAATAAGAAGGCATGCTCTAATCACAGGTAGATAATCATCTTCCTACTCAGAAATGTGTTTGAGATGTTGCCAACTTGTGCTTTTTCAAGTGTCTGCTCAGAGAACAGGAGCATCCAGGTTTGACCCTCTGCTGAGAGTGTGCCTTTGCAGCCCAGATAGAATAAATCAGAATCTACAGCTTAAGGAGATGCCCAAATGAGGCTTAGAGATTCCCCCCAGGTGTTCTTGTATGTACATAGTAATCAACAGGGGAGTTTATGGAACTGTAGATTCGGATTTCATCTGTCTGGGGTGGAGAGGCAAACTCTCAGCAGGGACTCAAGCCAGACTAAACTAGTTGGAAACCCTGCTTGCCACACTGAAGTCAGGTCATTCAGCAGCTGATGGCTTTCCTAGCTCAAGCCTTTGTGAAGCCCCCAGACCAGCAGCTGTTAGCATTGTGTTTTCAAGAAACTGTGCCTCATTCAAGGTCATGGATCCAACAGAGAGTGAAGAAACAGCAAGCAACTCTTCATAAACAACCTTGTGGGAGTCTTACATTTGTAATTCAAAATGTGTGGAGCACATGATGACTATTGCATTTAACAAGACAAAAGCCCAAGCTTTGAATTTTCTAAGCACTTTGAGGAAACATCCCAGCCCAGTCCAGATCAAGTCCATAACTCCGATATTAGCCCATATGTCCGATGCCAATTTATAAAGTCCTCATCAGAACTCACGAAACACATGCAATGATGCTGAATGCAGGACAATCACGGGCCAGTGGGTGGAAAGTCTTTGGATCTAGTGGCGTTGTGAGCATCTCAGCACTGGCAGGGGTCTCGAAGTGGCTTCTCCAGCTTCAGAGGTCTGGTTGCATCAGGGTAGGTCCATGTGGCTTCTCCAGCTTAGGGCACTAGCATAGTTCCATGTGTCTTGTCAGCTGCTATGTCTCCCAGTGAGGGGCAGAGAGAGAGGTGTCTCCCGCCTCCCTGGAGGAAGTACCGGATTTTCCAGAATTCCTAAGCACTTTGAATGTATCCAGAAAAGGTGTTTATTGACAACACACACACACACACACCCATCTTTAATAGAAATCTGTACTGCAGAGTTCATTTGAATAATGTCTTCTAGCAACATCTGGTTTTGAAAGAACTGAAAGTAGAAACGTGATTTGCTCAACATTCTCACGACTAACCAGGTTCGCTCACCGCCACTGCCAATTACAGGGCCGAAAATAAGGCTCACCTAACTGCGTCTGTGTCAAACTGGAGGTTAGGCTTGTCAATCAATCCCAGGGAATACAGCTGATAAGCTAGGGCACATTTTCCCACCATAAACTGCGCTGTGTTGGTGCGATCCAAGCAGTCCACGCAGTTGGTTCGAAGAACTCCAGTCTGTGGAAAAGCACCATCAAACTGTAGATTAGTTATGATACTAATAATATTAGCAACTAATTGTTACTTTGCTGATAATTATACTCAATAAGTACAACTGCTTCCACTTTTTTCTTCAGATCTGACTTCTTTCAGAAGCAGAAGAAAGACTAGGGTGGTGGTGGCAGTAAATTCTGAACACATCTTAATTATTTCATCTACTATAAAGTTAAAGGTCAAAGAATGAAGAACAATTCTTAGTTAATAAAAGGTCATATTGGCTGCTCACATAACCTCACTGCAACAGCATCAGTAACCCTTCCAGTCTCTATATGAAAATGTCTTTAGTTTTAACAAGATAAAATCAGTAGTTAACCTTCCCCACATAAATCAATTCATCCAATGTGCCCCCTATCCCATATGTCTCCATTACTGTCCAAACCAAATCTTCAGTGGTTGAGATCCAATCAGCCTGAAAGCAGAATTAATCTATGTAGTGAATGTATCTCTCTTGATGATTGCTGTCAGAAAACATTACGCCCTGTGGATAAAGATTCTATCAATTATCAAGACAATATTTCTAATACCTGTAGGCGACCAGTGGGAATCACACATCCTCCTAGTTCATTCCACCTGTGATTAGAAATAGATGCTTTAAAAGAATTTTATTGGCATGTTCTCCATCCTGTTCCTTGGTTAAGAATTCTGGGAGTAAAGTAAGAGAGCAGACTACCTCAAGAAATCAACTGATTCTGCTTGTTATTGGTTCCTGTTATGCCAATTCCAACCCACGTCGACCCCACACGTGCAGAGTAGATTGTGGTCCATACAGGGCTGCAAGCTAGTTTATCTGTTGGACTCCCTGCTGATAACTTGCCTTTCCACCCCACATATACTGAGTCACGATGTACATTTTAACAAGATCCCCACATGATTGTTATGTATAAGGAGGGATACACCAGAACAGATTCAAAATCGAGAATAGGTAGGAGAGCCGGAGAAATGGAAATGGGAAACACAGAGAAGGAGTGGGCTAAGGGGTGTTACATTGTGGAGCCTGCAATCAATGACATGAAACAAAATGTGTATGAACCACTGAATGGAAAACTGACATGCTCTGTAAACCTTCAGCCAATTCACAGACGTTGAAAATCAGAGAGAACGCACACATAAGAACCACCTGGGGAGCTTGTTAAACTACATTCTGATTCACTCTATCTGGGGGTCCCATGGACATTCTCAGCAGGAGGCTGGACCAGAAAGGAAGCGGTTCGAAGTCCTGACTCCCTAAGGAGCCTTTGGGAGCAGATCATACGGTGCGTCTGCTGAGTCCCCTCTGGAAGGGTAGTGAAGCATTTAACTCTCTTCACCACTTGGGACTTTTGATTCTGCTCACTCCAGAGGAATGTGATCCACGCCCCCCTTAAAGAGAGCCCAGGAAAGAAGCAACATCACGTGCTCCCGTACCCCCCACTCTGGCATTTTGTCACCCATATTCAACCAAAGTTCTTCTTGCTTTAGTTTCCGCTCATTTCCTGCTCAGGCTCTATAGATAAGAATGACAACTGTCATGAATCTTCCTCATAGAATCTTAGTCTTTGCTCTCAGGACTGGGTTTTCCACCACCTCCAGCTTTGCGTTGCTAGGCTGCCGTTCACAGCACTTTGCTGGGATTTTATGAAGCGGGTCCCCCAGACTATTCCTGCCATCCATGTGCTGATGAACAGATGGGCAGGTGGTGTGTAAGCTGTCAAGCATTATACAATGCCATTTTACTGTCTTAACATAAGGTGCCCTGAAATATAAATGAAAATAAATGCTAACTATAACATGAGCATTACTACTGGAGACCTCACGGAGATATGAGCAGGGCTTTCATCACTGTCCTCCATTACGAGAACTGAACATACGATGTTGGACATCTATGAAAATTGGCTTCCTGAATGAAAGATGAACGAAACATGCATCCTTGACCTGAGGAAGCTCCCAAAGTGGGCATGAAGAAAGATTTGTGAACAAATGACTATTAGACAATGATAAATATTTTCATCAAAAATGTTCATCATTCATCTGTAAGGAGATTTCCTGTTCCCATTTAACACTGGAAAACAGAATTCACTGCATGCAAGTTTACAGAAATAGTTTTGTAAGGTTCCTTCTGGGAAGGCAGAGAGAATGTTTCCATGGCTTCTGTCTCAAGGTACACTATCACCAAAGGAATTCTCATGCTTACAGCAAACATTCACTACAACACATGAGCGGTTCACCTCCCCAAAGAACTTCAGAAAGTCCTCCTGCAAGGAGTAGTACAACCTGCTCATAGTTACACTTTTTTTATCCTTAGAGGCAAAATGCTTAATTTATATAATGCATATTTATACACACACATATCTATGTACACCGTACATACTTTTCATCTGGCCGTAAAATGCTACAGTAAGAATCCGGGCGGTTAACAAAGAAACCTGTTTTCTTCACCACACTTTCTGCGATGACATTCAGCCGGTCGAGAACATTACACAGCTTGCTGAAGAGAGAAGATGAGAAATCCGGGTTAATTTGCTTGTTATATCTAAGCAAAATGAAGTCTTCAGGGATGGGAGTCAGGAATTTGATTTTTAAAATCCACTACCGGTATTTAAGAGGAGCACGGTCATAATTGTTTTCTATAATATAAGGTTTAATCAATCACTAGCAATAGTTGATACAAAAGAAGCACGAAGCATTTCTAACTTGATAAATGTTGAGGACTTTTAATCTCAGCACATCACACCCCTTTCCCAAAGCGCTTCACTATTCAAGGGTGTAACCAGTCAATATGCATTCATGAGATGTGTAAGTGAAAAGAATACAATGCACAGTGTGAGTGACAGGGGTTAAAAAAAAAGAATAAATTAACATGAATGGCACCAACCCGTAAAAAAGCTTACGCTCTGGCATGGTGTGTGTGTATGCACACTCATGCTTGTGTGTGCAGGCATCTTAACTACACGGCAGAGGCTTCGTGTGGCTCTTCTAGCCTGTATCTCTAGCTCCCACCAAACAACCTTTCCCTGCATGGGTCTGGTACGAAGGTGAGAGAAGACCTGACAGGATTCCCCTGTGAGTAATTTGGAACAGGATCTCCTAGAGTGGCTTCCTCTTGTGTATAAAAGGAGCCCTCTGAGAAGCAGGAGGATGGAATCTCATTACCAGCAAGAGCCAGGAGTGGGTTGTGTCCTCTGGATGTGAGATCCCTGCACAGTGAACCTCCTGGATCCAGCTATACCATCAGAAGCACATCAGGAGAACGGGGAGCCAGAGCATGGAACAGAGTCC